ACATACATATATACATATATATATACACATACATATATACATATATACATACACATGCATATATACATATATACATACATATACATACATACATATACATACATACACACACATATACGTGGTGGGCCGTCAGGGCCTGCAAGGCCTTCTATGCTGGCCTAAACAGAATCACAAAGTTATAGCTATTTTATGATAATAATTTTTCTTAAATACACACTACATGTATTATAATTTATAAAAATATTTTTCCCATTATCTTATTTTCTCATTGCACAGCTACTGTCTTCCTCAGTTGCTCTGCTTCCAGTGCAGCTTGTTTTAAGTAGAGCTTTTATCCAATGAGATCTCACCTCTGTGTCTCTCGGTAAGAAGAGAGGCCAGAGGCCTGCAGACTCACAAGTGCATCCATGTGCAGTTTAAGTGAATGGGAACGATATTGTTGATTGTCATAGTGTTCAACCAATCAGATCTTTAGTTTGACATGTTGGGCGTATTCTTTGACATGGCCTGCTAGCTGGCCTAAGTACGTCAGCATTACGTGCAGCTCAGTTTTCAGGTGCAGCTCTGCAGTGAGGTACAGCGTGTGCTGCGATTGGTCAATGGGCGAGCACGTAACTATCGTGAAACAAAATTTAACAGCAGAGGCTTAGTCGGTGTAGTAAGAGTTCAAATTGAAAGCTATGGAAGAAATTATAACATTTTTTGCATGTTGCTTGGTGTAGATTCTTTATTCTTTTACCTAGCTTTGTTTTTTTAACACTCAATGGCTGAAGGAGGAGAAACGGATTGAGTTGGGATTTAACTGTGGGATTAAACTCTTTGTCAACAGAGAAAGGAGGATGGAGTTTGTCTTTAAGTGAACAGCATTTGGTAAGTCAACTGCGTTTGTTTTTTTACATCTAATATCTGAATGGCCCTTGAGTGTGTAGCAGAATGCGTGTTGCTGCTGCTGTTTTCCCGTTAAGCTAGTTAGCGTAGACTCCCAGAACACTTGCGGAGCTCCAGCTGTTTTTTGTTGTGGTTTTTTTGTTCCGGTTCAAAGGTCACACAGCCCGTTGTCTCCTACATGAGCGCAGAAAACATTCTATTTCCTACAATTTAAGCTTCTGCATTTTCCAAATGCACTAGTATTATTCAAACGTATTGTTCGGTTCGTAACCCTCGTATCGAACGGTTTAATATGAATACGTGTATTGTTACACCCCTAGAAACGAATAATAACCGTAGCTGTGGCACCATCATGAGGTTATAAGGTGGTATTTCAGCTGCAGGACAGCATTGAAGGCCTAGGTATAAAATGCACGGCCCGCCACTGAAACAACCCTCTTAACCCAGTGAGCCACGGTCGGCCCCAAAGATTATAGAGGACAATCTTATGTATCAAGCACGACCTTTTAGTATTAAAGAGTATAGTAATACTTTCTGTAATCTACTGATTTTTAGGCCTGTTAATATGGACGGAAATCATTTCGTTTTCGTCTGAAAACCCCGGGTTTAAACGGAAACATATTAATGTGGATGTGGAACACACTAAATAAAAAATACTATCACTCACCGTTGCACGTGCAGCGCGAGGTCCGGTGGAAGCGTGGTGAAACAAAGCTGACCCGTGGTGTACTGTAGGTAGCCAGGCTGTGCGAGTCCAGGATGATGCTCTGTTCACACTGCGCCCCGCGACACTCCAGTCCAGAGCAGTTCTTATCTAGGATAGCCGACACTCTGAGGACCTCCTCTAGCTGCCGGCGTGATGCGCTCAGTTTCTGGGTGAGGTAAGCCGCCTTGTAGTACCCGCCCGCTGCTGTTTCCACAGCAATGAGCATGTCCAGTTGTTGCGTTCCGCCGACTGGCTGCAGACTGAGCAGGTGCAGCGTGTCCCGCTGCTGTGATGCAGCGGCCTGCCGCAGAACCTTCGACACGCTCTTCAGGTGCAGCCCCACAAAGTCTTGTGGTGCCACGCTCTCAAAGCGCACAGTAACCGCCTCACGCAGCATCTCCGGTGTCGCCTGCTCCACGTGCACGCTCACAGGCACGGGTACGGCGAAGCGTCCATCACTAACGCTGGCGTTGAGGGAGTACCTGCCTGCGTCCAACCCGCCCAGGGCGATGATTTTACCATCACGAGGACTGATCTTAAAGAGACTACGCTGGGCTGGGGGGGCGTGGCCAAACGTCAGCACGTCATAGGGGTCAGCGTCGGTGGCATGCAGCTGGCCAATCACACCACCTGGAAACTCGTCCTCCATAGTGACGATATGAACCTCCAGTGGAAAGGTCACGGGCCGGTGAAGGCTCTCCTCAATCACCCTGACTGTTAGCATGGAGGAGGAGGACAGACGAGGCTTCCCCGAGTCTGTGACCTGGGAGGAGGAGGAGGAACAGGGAGAGAAAAGCTGATTATTAGAAAAGATGGAGAAGATGCATTAAAAAGAAAATGGGGATAAGGAAATAAAAGATGACAGGATAAATGACTTACTTCAATGGTCAGGAAGTTCATTAAGACTGCATTCACACTAAACGCCAGTAAAAACACTGGGAAACACAAAGAGGGGATTCTATACAAAACAGACAGATTGTGGAAGATATCCACTTGATCTGTACTCAGACTGCTGAAACCTCACATTAGCATTTTTATACGGTACAAAGCGGGTGGATTATGTCGTCCCTAAGGAGATATTGTTTCACTGTCAATTCCACTCAAATCTGAAAGAGTATTGCCACAAAAAAGAATACAAAAGTTTTCCATTATTCCAAAGTTTGACATTATGTAAATGTTACACACTGAATGATGACGATGTGCATTCAGTTTTCCAGATGATTGTATTATACTGTGAATACAACAAGACAGTCTCAGATGAATATCTGCTTCTGCGATCTCGACTGTCCTATCTGGTCTAGCTCACTTATTTTAGACAAGAATTACAGTGCCAGTCAAACAAAACCCGCTACTGCCACCTATTGGCAAAAATGAGTATCGCCCTGCAGCTACTTTAGGTGAAAGTAGGTGAGTTTAAAAGTCACACAAAGCGTTTTAAAGGATAATAACCAGAAGATAATAGTGAGGGGGGGGCAAGGTGATGACACAAATAATACAATAACAATTGTGCAAATAATTGTACCCATTAAAATGTCCAGGGTGCCACATAAAGAATCGGGAGAGCTTCCATTTGTCCACAATGAACAAGCCATGATAGTTCTTGCTAATTGGTCATTGTGAACAGCTATTTAAACTTCTAATTATTTATTTTACAGCATTCACGGATTCACTATTCTTGAAACTGAAGTGAAGCTAGAGAAGAGACGCAGTTTGCTCTACCTGGATCATAATAGCATATTCAGTTGCCAGGTCCCTCCTGAACACTTGATTGGCCACCAGCGTTCCATCTTTCTCCAGCACAAACTCTCCGCCTTTATTTCCTGACACGATGCGGAAGTCAAAGGGCTCGCCATTGTGTGAGGAGTCCTGATCGTTGACAGACAACTGCAGGATGCTGGTGCCGATGGGCTTGTTTTCCTGGGGGAGGGACACGCCATTAGAAAGACCTAACTGTTGGGGATACATTATGCATGGTCACAATATGATGTATCAAACTAAATGGTCATTTCATTTTTAGAACCTTGTTGAATTCTTAGCTCCTGGGCATATCATTGAGTCATTGGTATTGCCACCTGTCAGTCCCTCCAAGAAATCATGTTGGCAAGACAAATGGTCATGCAAATTAGTTGACTTCAATCAATTGTGCTCTGTTCTTGTAGTTTCCACTTGCACTTTGTGTTCCTTTCCCTCCACTACAGCTCAGCACACAAACCCTGTCCAGGGAATTTTGTCACTTTGGATGATGTCACCTTGATTTGTCTAACTCAGACTCAGACGATTGAAGCATCACATTGGTTCCAAATCAACATTGGCATACATTATTTTCACAGAATGAGGGCTGTGGAATTTGAGTCCGATATTTGTGTGATTATGATGGCCTGCTGAGCTTATGTTCAGGGCCATGATTTGTGTGCTGCCACTGCAGTTGGGATTGTTTTTACCAAACAAAAAGAGCCACCGATGACTAGTGTCCATCTTGTCTTTATGTTTCAGTAAATTTCATGTTAATCATGAGGTCTACCTGTATGACAGTAGTGAGGTTGGCCGGGGAGAACGTGGGCGGGTTGTCATTGATGTCAGAGATGTCTATGTTGACCATCACAGTGGAGGACATGGGTGGGATTCCACTGTCCAGAGCTCTGATGGCCAACGAGTAGCTGGGAACCTAGAAGGACAGACACAATGGAAGATATATAGAAGAGTAACACAAAATATAAAGGATGTCCCCCATGGGCTTCTGAAGGCAAATTTGAAAGCCTGGATTTCAGTTATCATGGCAGTTAGTTGAGCCAGAAAATACAGAGTTCTGAACTGGGGTTGGACGCACCGATATCAACCACACAGTATATCCTCGTGTGTGTGGAAAATGAGGCTGTAGAGGATCACATAAAAAATGCTGAACAACAACAGGATGATGATTTTACTATTCTTATAGACTTCCCTTGTGGTGAAAATGCACACTTTGTCCTGAGGGTGGCAGTAAAGGACAGGAAAATCTAACGCTATTAATGTGCTCATGACATTGCCATACAGTCTTCCTTTTAGATTCATCTTGTGAATAAATGGGCTGATGTCTTTCTGTAACTCAACCACGGGCCTGCTGTAGCCAGAAGCCCAGGCTCCCTTTCACGTTCTGTCCGCACTGGAATTTACAAATGGTCAAAGTTCCTTTTACGAGACGATTCCAGTTCATTAGAGCTCAGCCTTATTGTTATCTTTATCATTTGAAATACACTCTAGGCTATAAGCCAATAGCTCTGAGATCTGGTGACACTGTCTATTTATCCATATAAGCTGAACCAGTTCTTCTGGAGGTCAAACTGAAAGTGACACACCTGCAATGTAACTAATAATCCCTCATTGCACAGGGAATCGGTGTGTACATATCCTAGGTGGAAGTGTGTACACTGTGATGATGTTTACCGTTGGTGGTTTGTCTAACCTGGAGATTGTTTCTAACCAGTCTGATCTTCTGACTGCAGAAAGACTTGTTTTATGATGTTGCTATTTTACCAAATCTTAGCAAATATAACTTGGAGAGTACGGTGTTGCATTGGATAGAAATGATGGAAAAAAACAAGGACATATATGAGCTATATCATTATATATTAAAAGACGACACATGTCAATGTTGTGTTCACAGTTTGTTCCCAAAACGACGACTGTTGTTGCATTTATATACAGCAGACAGATTGCCAATGTTCCAGTGATCATATTTAATCTCCGACGCTTAATCAAGTCGTCTGTCTACCATCACTTGGATACGTATCAAGAAAACAGCACTGAGATGAAGATAAAAGGCTTCTTGATAGGTTTGTGCTCCTCCCAAACTGATCTGAGATGACTCTGGATCTGATTGACAATGTTTAAGTTCACACACTCTCAGTCTGCTCTAAACCCGCTGCAGGATATTTCTCCATATTGCTTTATAATAAAAAGCTAATGAAGCATGCTGAGGAGAAATGCCAAGGCAGCAAGAAAACTATTCTGCTGCCTGAGACATATGAAGAAATAAATGTCAGTAGTAAACAACTCTGACCTGCTTAGCAGAGAGAGGGGGAGAAAATAGAAGAAGGAAAAAACACACCCATGCACATAGTAGTATTAACACACAGACATCAGCTCTGCACACAGTGACACACAGAGAGAGAGAGAGCTGCTGCTCTCTGTGTGATAACCCCACACACACACTTCATCAGCCAAATGCTTTGATCCTACACATGCCCCTGCTCTCTCTGAGCACGTTCAGACAGCTCATCCACTGCACTCGTGAATACTTTATGATGGGCATATGAACACTTCTGAAGTTTTCAAGCACTGCGGAGGAGAAGGAGACGAGGAAGAAAAGAGCTCAGAGGAGGAGGGGAGGCAGGCAGGGCTGCTCATGCCTTCCATCTTTATTCCTGCTGCATATTAAAGAGCTCATACTCAGAGCTGCTTTGTGCATGTGCTTCCTGTTCAAGTGTGATTAGTTGCCATCTGGTCAGGGATCAATTTTACAGCGTGAGCTCATCAGCTGCCAGCAGGCTCCTTCTTTACATCAAAGATGGGCGAGAGCTCACACCTAAGCAGCTCCTCATATACACTGGCTGTTCATGGTCAGCTGATATAAACAGTCATCACATCATATCATCTGTTGCATAAAACACAAAGTAAGAAGCTAGATTCTCAGTATTCTCAGTATGTAGGTTATAACAGCTGAAATCCTGCATGAATAACGTGACCATTCGTCCTGGACTGCTGCCATTATTTCTAGATAACCTTAGTGTTGGCTGCTTATGGTTCCAGTTTAAGGTTGATATAATATCAAATTAAAAATATACATGTTCACTGAGCTACAAGATTGACAAATCTTGTATCATTTATTTGAATCTCTTGTCCCTTTTTTTGCATTAGCAAGGGGTACTGTGCAAAACATTCATGTAGAAGCTCTCCGTTGCTTCCACCTGTTCAAATTGCAGCTGTTGCCGGTTGCAGATTATATCATCTGTTACTAATAAACGTTAAGGCTGAAAGAAAACGAAGCTCTGCTTTAGCTTGTTGCAGACACATGTACATTAGATGTTTTAAAATGAATAATCAACATAAATATCATGATATGCAATCAAGTGTTTTTACAGTTACACTTTTTTCAACTGCCAACACACTGAAATGACACATAAAGCACAATTATTGAGACTGACCCAATAAATAAAACCTCAGTCTCCAAAACTCTGAACTCATTTCCTGCTTTGTACCAAAAAGCAATTAAACATGTCACTTTCTCAACACAGTTCTCTACATCAGACGCAGGCATTTAGTGACTTGTTCGTCTTTCAAAGCAGTGCCATTCAAAATGAAACACCCATGGACCAACTGTC